TATCAAGAGCTTCAACTTTGGCTTCACCAACCCCATTTAGGTGGAGGAAACACGCAGTCCACAAGTCAAAATTCAAAATTATATCCTCACATATTTCGTAAATTTTACTTTAATGCTAAGTCTGCATCATTGCAAAAACTATTTTACAGGCACCAACGTAATAGGTACCTACGCGGCATTGAAAATACAGATAAGCAACCTATAACAGTGAAATAATGTATTAAAGAAAGTTAATGTGTTTCACTGACCATTCAAATTGCAAATGGAATTTAGTCAGGAGTTGACAATTATTATTTCAAATAAATATTTTGTTCCGCATGACGGATTTACTACTACGCCCAGCAGATATCAACAAATTTGCATCCTTGTTCATAGATATAGGTACTTTACATATTGCTCCAAATACTTCTATATTATGCAATTTTTTTCTTAACTAGAAACCTCATGTATTGCTATATTTAGAATCTGACATCTTTTCCAAGCTGCGTTTACTTTTAATCATTCTGAGGGCTTTATTTGAAATTGATGCAACTTTGCATACGCACGCAAAAGACGTCATTCACAATTGAAAATTGGTGCGCGGCTTATTTGACATGCACTTTTTCAATCGCAACTGACGTCATCTGCGTCATATTTGCATGTGCAAGCATGTGTTTTTTTATATATTTTCGACTTATACCTACCTTCTATTATTCATCTAAAATTGACAAAACACATACATTAAATCTTATCTTCCTGTGACCATTTTCACCATTACCTAACTTGTATCGTTAGGTAGGTACCTACTATCTATAATTGATTGACAGCATTAATTGCAATCGAATAAAATGTTATCAACGGCTAAGTAGTCCCTCTTGTTCACTTTTAGTAAAGTAAAGCTAGATTGTCTCTATTTTCTTACAATCAGGAATCCACAATATTATTGCTTACCTATAAGGACCTAACGGGAGCAATGTCAACTTGCCCCACCGCAGCCTTAGAGACGCTACTCAACATGCCCCGACTTCATCTAGTTGTGAAAAAGGAGGCAATAACCAGCGCTCACAAACTATTCCAAATAGACAAGTTCAAGCCTGGTGATCTGAGGGGACATCTGCGAATCCTTGATTTAATAAAACTGGAGAATGCCAGCAAACCAAGCAACCACATGATGGTCAGATTGGACTTGGAGATCCCCTTCGCAGTGTTAATAAACGACCGCCAATCATGGGAGAATAAAGAACTACCACAAGCAGACAATGCATCTCTGTGGTACACAGATGGATCCAAGCTAATGGAAGGAGCTGGACTGGGCATCTCCGGTCCTAACTTCAAGCTCTCCAAGGCATTGGGTAAACATCTTACAATATTTCAAGCCGAACTGCTTGCCATAGATATATGTGCACAATAGTGTCTTAGCCAAAACCTCGCAAGAAAACACATCTTCATACTATCGGACAGCCAAGCTGCCTTAAAAGCCTTAAGGGCTTTCAAATGCACGTCAAAACTAGTCTGGAAGTGTAAACAGACCCTAAAAACACTAGCGACACACAACCAGGTAACGCTGATATGGCTGCCTGGTCATCGAGGCATAGAAGGAAATGAAAAAGCAGATGGCCCCGCAAAGGAAGGGGCCTCAACACCATACCATGGACCAGAGCCCTACTGTGGCTTAATGAAAAGCCACATCATGGAAGAACTCAATAAATGGGAGAAAGACGAACTGTCATCATACTGGAGGCACACACCGAGCCTCAGACAGTCTAAAAGGTTTATTACCCTTTCAGCAAAAAGAGCTGAACAGCTCCTAAGCATGAGCAAACCAGACATCAGATTGGTGGTGGGACTGCTCACAGGACACTGCCCAGTAAAATACCATTTAAGGTTAATGCGCAGAGCCGAAGACGATCTCTGCAGATTCTGCTCAGACGCAATAGAGACCACAGAGCACCTGTTCTGCGCATGTCCAGCCCAATTCTGCAAGAGGCTCAAATTCCTCGAGGGGGCAACACTGTCACCAGAAGAAGTGGGCCAACTGACACCCAGGAAAACAGCTTCCTTCGGCAGAAGTCTTCCTGGAGACAATTTGAGATGTAGAGTCATGTACAAAATATCTGCATAGGTAGCAGTGCTGAGCGGCTGAAAAGCCGAAACGACTCCCCTGCAATCTACAATCTATAAGTACCTACTCCTTCTAGCAAATTCATCTAGTGGAATACCTTGAAATGACTGAAATAAGTACCATCTAACCACAAGCTGAGGACGGGATAAGAATCAATTTTATCCAAAATCATCAAATCAAGATTCAGTACTATATGATCAATAACAGAAAAATCAACATACAGTACATCCATGAAGTATGAATTCATTCAAAATTCAAATATAAGTTTTTTTACTGGTTCAAATAAAAGTTATAACCGATCTGTCAATTTCTCTCAATGGAACACCTTGTATACAAAATCATATTTGGATTCTCTTGGGAATTCTAAAAACATTTGATATGACATATCTTATTGTATCTATCTCCGTTTCTGAAATACTAAAATTTGTAAAATAACAATTTAACCTTCTTGACTTTCTTCTTAGATTCAACCGGAGACTAAATTTAACACGATGTGCTTATATGTAGGTAACATAAAATCAATTGCCTATAATAAATAATTATTGTTTAATTTGAACGAGACAGTATTCGACATACCAGTATGAATGGGAAATTTCCATATTAACCATAAAATAATGTTAACGATGTATTTGTAATTAAGTTGTCATTCCTGTTAATAATAATTGGTGTTTTGATTGTCTATAATGCCCTGGGCGTTACAAAAATAACAACCAGCAGGTGAATTATTTCTCTGGTAATATATCTGAAGTTTGGTTGATCAAAAGAAAACCACTAAACCAATGGAAGGGAGATTTCAAGAATGTTTTAGTAAATTTTCAAGTTGATTAAGTGAAAACTTTAAAAAATACATCCTGAAATATTTAGTTTGATTATCCACACGCAAGGATGTGAATAATTTTTTTACTCTTGGACTGTTTCAAGTATAAATTTGCAATTTAGTGAAGAGTGAAAGGATGGTTTCAAGCATGTTATAGTGAATTTTGAAGTTGATTGAGTGGAAACTTTGAAAAATACATCTTGAAATAGTTTAATGAGGAAGGAGATTTTTCAAAAATTTAGACACAACGATGTAATGATTTTTTTACTCATGAACTTTTTTATGTATCAAGTTGCAATTTAGTGAGGAGTGAAAAGAATGTTTGAAGCATATTATACTTAATTTTCAAGTTGATCGAGTGAAATCTTTGAAAATACAGCCTGAAATAGTTTGATGAGGAAGGAAATTTTTCAAAAATTTAGACACAAGGATGGTAATGTTTTTTTTTTTTACTCATAAACTGTTTCAAGTATCAATTTGCAATTTAGTGAGGAGTGAAAGAATGGTTTGAAGTATGTTATAGTAAATTTACAAGTTATTTGACTGAAAACTTTTAAAAATACAGCGTGAAATAGTTTGATGAAGGGAATTTTTCAATAATTGAGACACAAGGATGTAAATAATGTTCTTATTCATGAACTGTTTACTGTTTCAAGTATTAATTTGCAATTTATTGAGGAGTAAAAGAAAGTTTGAAGCATGTTTCAGTATTTTTTCAAGTTGTTTGAGTGAAAACTTTAAAAAATACAGCCAGAAATAGTTTGATGTGAATGAATTTTTTACTCATGAAATGTTTCAAGTATTAGTAATAATTTGGAATTTGAAGAGTGAAATCCAAACGACAACATATTTAGTTACAGCCCTTACTGAAAGTCAGAACATGTAGATACTGCCCAAGATCCAAAAAGAAGATTCGCAAGGAAAGCAGCAGTCCAATGCGAGAAATGAAGAAATGGGAGAAGTGATGACACTGCCACATTTCAAGAAATACCTACTGAAAAAGATATATTCAAAGCGATAGGAAAAGATGTTAGAAGTTAACAGGAAAACAAAATTGAACTGACTTTTATGATGAACAACAAAAGCATGAAAGTCCTACGTAGAAAACTCACAATTGAAAAAAAGGAAATAGGTATTTAACATGAAAGACAAGGAATGAAGAATTATTAGGTACCAACGGAAAATAAATACATCGCATTGTACATCAGCTACAGGAGTCGACAAGATGTCATCGAGTCTGAAATAGAACAAGATCAAAAGTTTCTTAACGACCAAAAAAGATATTGTCAATCTCTAAAATTTGTTGGGATTCTTAGAAAACACTCGGTATTGTTACACATTATATTTGAGACACCCTATATATTTTATATTTTGCAGCAAAAATTTTGTTCTAGCATTCAACTTTTCCCTCTTCCAGGACATACAAAAACAAATCATGCAATATCACTAGCAAGAATTTCTTTGTCAGAGGACACACCCAAGAAAACTAGAACCATTTTTATAGCTCCAATAAAAAAGTGATTAAATTAATATTCCACTAGTAATTTTCTTGCCGTTTGATTAACGCATATCATATACCGCTTTTTTCTGTTAATATTACTTTGGAGGTTTATGTAAGTTTTATTCAAATTAAATGGCAATGGAACGGTACTAGGTTAGAAGCAGTTCTTTCAAATAAAACTTTCAGAAAACATACTTATCTATATTGATAAAATGCCAAACTTTTGCATTGAGAAATCTGGGAATCCAGATTATTTAAAGATGAAGGCATTATTGTTGAGTAGTTTTTTATTTATCGAATATTGATTTTTCATTGATTAACTATAATTGTTTAGAGAATGTTGTCTATTATTTCTTCTATGTCTATATCTTGTCTGGGTGAGCATTATGTATTCATTTTTTGAATTCTTTTTGCCTAAGTATAATGTATAGAATTATGATTCTCTAATTATTCCAGTCTCCTAAATGTGGCACATAGAACATGAATTTGGTTTTAGATGATTGTGGTTCTGAGAAAACATGATCATGTCGGTCTTCATCTGTTCGGTTTAGTTAAGCAGCAAATAAAAAATGCACATAATATAAATTCAATCACAAAATACTATATTTACTATAACTTAATTAATACATAACAAAAGTCGGGAGGCAGTCGTGGTTTTAACGTACCCTTTCAATTGACTATCATCAGACTTCAAGGCTTGTCTATTTATCTATTTTTTTTTGGCATTTAAAAACTGAAAAATGTCCCAAAAATCAGAAGTGAGATCAAAATGTATTTGATAGAAGAGCAGAAGAAAGAGGAAAAAAAAAGAATGTGCGATAAGGTATGGAAAGAAGAGATAGAGAAAGAAGTCCTTCTGGGACATATCAAATTTTTTACGTCATTTTTTGTAATGCCCCAAGCAAATTAGTCTGATTCTGGTCAAAAAAAAAAAAATGGGCACAAAGTCATTTCAAAATTCTACTTATAAAAGCTTGCCAATGGGAAGACCTTGTAGAGTGGGTCCCCATAAACCATCAGCTGCGATTTTTCCTGAAGGTCCTCGCACTACTACGGGAGCAGTTGGAGGTCCGTTTACTGAAGCACCAAGTCCTGAGACTCCGATGGAACCACCTCCGTTAGTGATTACTCCTAAAAGAAATAGGCATTTAGTTTTTAAAATAAGTTTTATAAATAACAAATTTACCAGCAGCCAAACCAACAGGACCAGCGAGTGCTACAGGACCAGCGATTGCTGGGCCTGCAATGGCGACAGAGGAACCTAAAGCGGGGCCAGCGAGTACTGCACCAGAAGTACTAGCACCAGTAAGGACAGCACCGGTTGTTCTGGGACCGTCAATAATAGCACCAGTGGTCTGAAAAACAAACAAAATCAGTTTTGTATTGTCAGAATGGTCTCAATAAGAATAACCCAACGATGAAATGCGAGAATAGACGAATAAAAAACTTATTTTGGTTTCCCAAAATAGGAATTGAAGTTTGGGACACTGCATCATTTCAAACATAAATTAATTAACATTAATTCTTTCGATGATAAGTTAGGATATATTTCCTATTATTTGGGGCCGGTTTATTCAATTTCTGATAAAATGTTAGGTATGCAATCTGACGGATAAAAACTCTATCTGTAATTCCATTGGTGGGCACTTATCTGCCAACCAATAGGTTTATAGAACGGTAAATTGATCTTGTAGATATTTACCAGAAGTTTATCTGAGGATGAATAAACCCGGACTTAAATAAGTTAATTACCCTTGGTCCAGATAAAACAGCTCCAGTGGAGATAGGTCCGGCAAGATTAGCTACTCCTAGGGCTGGTCCAGCGATAACACCCGAAGTTAAAACTGGGCCTCCGACAGCTACGCCTCCAAGACCGATACCCCCTAGTCCTACACCGCCAAGTCCTACACCGCCAAGACCGAGGATGCCTCCGCCTAAGCCCAAACCTCCAGGTGCTGCAGAGGCGAGAGCCAAAAGTGCAGGAAGAATGATCTGAAATTGAGGAAAAAAGAGATTTTCGTAAAAAGTGTGAATAACGGCTCCAGTTTCAAAAAAAATCAAGTTACACCGTTAAGAAAAATTCAATTTCAAAAAAAAAAAAATTGATTTTACTTACCAAGCCTTTCATTGTATTAGTTTGAAACTGCTGAAGTTCTGTGACAAAACTATACCATTTTCCGATGCAACCCCTGCTTATAAAGTAAAACCCGACCTTCGGTTTTCCGGTACCAAGATACGCGCTGTAATCACAAACCCACCATATATTTTCATAGCTGATTAAAAAGCTGGGCAAATTTCATCTTGTATGTTTTGAATTGAAAATATTACAAAATCACTTGCAAAACAGACCTTGAGCATTTAACCGCACGCTGAGGGTGTGTGTAGGCTTAAGTTTTCATTCAGGATACGATCTATATTTAGGTCGTACTGAATATTTGTATATGGTTCAGCAGTTTCGCGTAATTCGTGATATATTGTCTCAGTATTGTGCAATAAAGGCGTTTTATGTTCATATTGTCACTGCGGAAAAAATTGATATGAATTTATGGCTTGTATAACTTGACGAAAGGTCGTTCAGAATTCTACACATTCAATTCACTTTTTATTAATTAAAGTAAAATTACTAGCGAATTTTTTCCTTGGACCTAAATTACCGTGACATTGTACATTGTAAACTTAAGATAATGATTTGAAATTGAGATATGTTGACAATATTTTATTAGGTAGATACCTTCCTTTATATTTTATGTGACTTACGTACTATTCCTTTTTACTTATTCCATAAAAAGCTTGAATATATATAAAATACTATGCTACTGAGAGCTCTTATACCTACAGAAACTATGTCAAAAAGTTTGTTAAATTTAGCAAAAAAAAATTATAGCAAAAATCTGAGTTTTAAAGTAAGGGTTATAATATAATCATAATGTAATGATTAATTAAGAAATTTAAATTGAAAAATAAATTATGTCTTGATAGTAGGTACGTATTTTAGTTGCAAGAACATGTAATTTGCAGCGTAATATGCTAATTATTATTGAATGATTAAATGTTTTTTTAGCATTTTGTTTTTACATACTAGAAAAATAAAGCTTGATGCTACATAAATTTCAATAGGTAAGACTAATTTCTACTTTATTTTTGCTACTACAGTACATGACAGATGGAAAGGTATTTTTTTGGTAGGTACCTTCATGATGGTACACGATTACTCAAATAGTATATTGTGTATTTAGGTGGAAAAGAGGCACATTCTCGGCCGACGGTGTAAGTTGACGGGCGAGGCGTAGCCGAGGCCGGCAAACACCGAAGGCCGAGAATGTGCTTTTCCACCGAAATACACATACTATTTTTTCTGAGATCGGTTAAATATCTGTTAAACGTTTGTATTTTTGTTCCAATTATTCAGCAGTACGAGAATACGAGATTCTCGTATTGTTATTCATTGATTCCTTATAGCAACTATTAAAATACTAGAATATTGGGTTTTGCGACCTGTCAACCGGTCAAAAATGCTGACATTTCTTGTCAATCTCAGAATTTTTTTTTTTCAGATTCTTGGGATAGGTATCTAACGGTGGATTAAGAAGATTCAATACCTGGTTCAACTGGCGTTTTTGCAATTTTGTATTTATTTTCTCAGGATCCTTCAAGAGATCATTAAAGAACAGGAAAATCAGACAAAGGATCTTCAGAATATCACGATTATGGGAATAGAAAAACGCTAGGAACCGGAAATCTTTATACGAGGATTTATCAAAATTATACACGCAAAAAACAAAATACTTGGTTCAAATAGCTTATTAAGCTCAATTCGAGCATAAGTTAGCTTTGCGTATACTCAAGACTATGACGCCTTGGAATAAGAATAGCAAATTCTCAATATATTAGGTTTTTTTTAACAAAATGCGATGTTTCGTTCGAGTATTTCAGATTTTTTAAATAAAAATGTAGGTATTTCGAGCATATGTCAGTTCCATCTAACAATATAGACCTGCTTTGTTTGATGCTATCCCAGTTTCATTTCAAGAGGACGGTAATTTCACCATGAAAATTGAGATATGCTCAAAGTAAACTTTTGTATACCTACTAAATACCTAAAATGTCATTTTAAGGAATACTTATCGTTAAGTCTCCCTTAAAATGGTCGGTGCAAACGGCCATTAGAGTAGGTATTTTATTCTACAGCGTCCGTCCAAATTCAGTAACAAAATGCTAAACTTTTTTATTTTTCACATTACAAAAAAAAATCCTGATAAAATATTTTCCTCGATCCAAAAATATTATTCAAATTCTAATTTGAAACTATTTCTGGATCAAAAAAAAAACAATGGTTAACAACTTTTTCTTTTAATATCAAATGAAAAGGTTTGGTATCCAAATCTGGGTAGACACTATGGAATATAAATTCAATCCATATAGGGTAGGCAAAAAACGTGAGTGGCCTCCATAGGATTCACAAAAAAAACAACTGATTGATGAAGTTCGAACAGCCCGCTGTAACCTTACATGAACCTTACTTTTCAACGAACTAGTGAAGACTGAGAGTTGAAGAGAGTTCGTCATGCGGCCTCGTAAGCCGATCAACTCAAACCAAGCATTACGGTACGATTATATTCTCTAATGGAAAATACATTTCCAAAGTATTTCCAAATTGAGGATGTGAAACTTATTAAATTAAAGATATACCTATATTTTTGAAATAGGTATTTTATACTCTTATATTTGTTTACATTGAGAATACGGAGTAATCATATAGGTACTCAAATTAAGAGTATTTTATTATTTATCATTTCCGTTTTAGTATTCGGTTGTTCAAAACAAAAATTAGTACATTCTCAAAATAGGTATATTGTTTCTCCTTCCAAAATAGACCTATCTCCCATGATTAGAAAAAGAGAGCTTCATTGTAATAAATACAAGTTAGAAAACAATAAAAGATAACATGCGCGCGCAACTCGTAGGCTGCAGTGTAGCCAGATTGTATTGTTGCAGAACAAATGTAGACAATACAAATCGAACATTATAACATTAAAGAAGTAATATAGTCTCGAGTGTTTCACAACGCCTTAAATCAGACAAAAGAAGAGCTTTAAAGTGGATAAACATCGTTTGTACTTTTATTTTGATAAATGTTTCATCCAGCAACATCGCTCAATAAAATTGCAAAGGAATATGTCAAGTATTGTAACATTTTCAATTTCTTGGCTAATAAGCTACCTTGTTTTGCTTTGGTAGATATGATTCCATATAGAACTACAATGAAATAAATGAATAAACAACTATCTTTTTTGTGCCCAGATTTTGTTACCTTGATTACTGCCTTCTACTGAAAGTTTTTTTTGTGCAGGTTTGCAAGTTTTGTTGATTGATCTAGGAAGGTTTGATTCAGTACGGCAGGGCCCGCTGTTATTGATTAGAATCTTAGGAAAAGGAGTTAGTACCATCATCATCTCTGTTTGCAAATCCAATCAATAATCTGAGGTTATGATAATAATTGTTGTTTATTTACTCTTTTTTATAATGACTTTCTCTACCGTGGAATATATAGAATTTTTTTTACTACTGCTATAGTAGAAAATAAAAAATAAGTTTGAAATCTGTGCTCAAATTATTTTTTCTAGTTGGAAGTGCTGCCCCCTATCAACATCTATGCTAATTTCCTATGATACATACAGGAACCTGTTTTTTTGATTAAATTGACAGTTTGAAATTGAAATTAAACCAATAGAAACGTGTAACGTTATGACAATATCCTTGCGTCATGACGTCATTTTCATTATTGACCTAGGTTTTTTTTTCATTATTTTCATTATTAACCTAGGGAGAGAAATTTAATTTTTTCCGAGAAAAGTAGATTGAATAATGACTACTTCTCAGGTTAGTAGTAAAAAAAAATATTTTTCCCCCCCTAATATAATACTTAACTCAATTATTCTAACAAGTAATTTATGAATTTTCCAGTAAATTCACTAACAGAGCTCGTTATTTTAATTCTGTCCGGCAAGCTATTATATCTTGTAGCAGCCTGATAAAATGGATTATACAATCCTACATTAGTCCTAATATTATTATTCAAAAATAGAACATGTTGTGCTCTAGTATTATGATCATGAATACTATCGGAAAATATAACACTTATATTAGATTTTTGAATATTATTGACTACTTTATATATATATTTACCCTGCTCGAGTTGTAAAACATTTTTTAGCATCATAACGCCCAAATCCCTATACAGGTCCACAGTGGGAGTACGCCAGTCTAATTTAAATAGAACCTTTAACACCTTGTTTTGCAAAATTTGCATTTTATTAAAATCAACTGCACCACATGTGCCCCATACAGGGATCAGGTATCTAAAATGCGACAGGAAATATGAATTATATACTAACATCTTACTTTCTTTGGTTAAATAGTCTCTAGCTCTATAAATAGCACCTAACATAGAAACAATTTTATCTGTTACATGCATAGTATGGTCTCTCCAGTTTAAATGCTCATCCACGATAAGCCCCAAATACTTAGTATGAGTTACCTTTTCAATTTGAACATTATTTAATTTGATTACAGGATCTCGAGAAAGTTTGTTTTTCTGTTTAAAAAAGATAAAATTTGTTTTAGCAACATTAATTTTTAATCTATTGTGCAATAACCACTTTGAGTACTTTCCAAGATCGTTATTGATAACTATTTCCAAGTTCTCAACATTTTCGCCACTGTACACCAGCACCGTATCATCTGCAAATGTAAAGTATTGACCAGTCAGACCAGCGCTTCTGAGGCTGAGCACATGCAATGAGTACAACAATGGTCCAAGGACGGACCCCTGTGGCACTCCACACTCGCCGGACTCCATATCGCTGGTTAACCGGCCAACACCCACAAATTGCTGTCTCCCATCCAGATAGGATTTCAAAATGCTATGCACAGGCCCTCTAAATCCCATATTGTACAGTTTCCCTAACAGAACATTCCAACAAACAACATCAAATGCCTTTTTAAGATCAATGAAAATTGCAACAACTACTTTTTTAGCTTCTAATTGAGTACATATTTTGTTTACAAAATCCATTGTGGCACTTAATGTGTTACTATTTTTCAAAAAGCCATATTGAAATTTATCCATATGAATATATTTTTTAATGAAGTCTAGCATTCGACTTTTAAGAACCCTCTCTATAATTTTGGAAAAGGTGCTTATCAAACTAATGGGCCTGTAATTACCCATAAGATTCCGTGAACCCGACTTGAAAATAGGCGTAATTCTATTTATTTTCAGCTCTTCAGGAAATCGGCCAGATACGAAAATGTTATTAATCAGTTTAGTAACAATTACAACTAAATTTCTACCTAAGTTTCGAAGATCACTTACCGTTACCTGATCATTTCCAGGAGCTGAATTACGTTTTAAACTATTTACAATATTTAAAATTTCCACTTCATCAACTACCGCCAAATATAGAGTATTTGCACAACTAATTTCATTAAAATTAATCATATCATCAATATTATTTGACAAACCCTGTATTTCTGTTTCTACCTCATTGACAATTACTTTACCTACACTAGCAAAATGCCTATTTAAACAATCTAATATTTCCCGCGGATCATCGATCATTTCATTATTTACCTTAAGCTCTTTAATTCTAGTTTGACTACCTGACTTTTTGGTATTTAATAAATTATTTATAACAGCCCATTGCTTTTTTGTATCACACCCTGCATCAATCCATTTTTTCCTAAAATGTAAATTTTTCAGATACTTAATTTTATTGTTGACCCTATTTTTTACAATTCGAAACTGATTCGCTATTGCCATATCATTAATGTTTTTACGCATTTTTTGTACAAACTATCTCGTTCCTTAATTAAATCTAGCAGCTCCTCTGTTATCCAAATATTATTATTATTACACTTGATTTTATGCTCATATTCAGCTATAGATTTACTGTTCATTATTACATTGATGAGATCCTGAAATGAGTTGATTTCCACAGA